GAGGAGGACGAGGAGGGGGAGGAGGAGGAGGAGGAGGAGGAGAAGAAGAAGGGAACACCAGTGGTCGCTGCCGGGCGCACGCCTGTCGTCACGTTCCAGTACCCTTTCTTGGGGGGAGTATCCGAGATCCTGGCGTCGCATTCTCAAAACGGGCAATTTTGCCTTGTCTCAGGCCCTGGGACCATCACACATCGATCTGGCATGACAAAATGATGTTGCACTTTTTCGTGACGTCGGATCTCCTGGTGCCAGAGTGTAACTTCGCCGCCCCTGCCCCTGGGTGCTGCCAAGCGTGCGTTTCTCGTTGGCGCCCTGCCCCCCCAGGGGGGGTCCAGCCATTTGGCGTCCAGCGATGATCACAATGAGACTTCGCTTACATCCCCCTCGTCATAGCGTGATGTCAAGCGTGCAGCTGTGGTTGCTTTCCCCCTCAACAGCTAGCTACCGCTCTACGCTGAACAGCACGAGACATCGTCCCCTCTTGGGGCTGCCAAGCGGACAAATGTCGTAGAGTGGGCACGCCCCTGGGTCAGATTCCCACTTGTTTCCGCGTATTCCTACCGGTGGACACGGCCTAGGATACACAAGTCTCCGTGGGGTGGGGTGCTCTGGTCGTCGCTAGGATACAGCCGATGCGGATCCCAGCGTTCCTTGAATGGCAAGTGCGACAAATCCAACACTGGGGCCCCAGCCAGGTCGAGAGGTGGCCAGATTTCGCCCCACTGACCTTCCGCGCTGGACTAAGCGCTTGTCAGGGGCAACGATAGGGGGGACTGGGCATACTGGGGAATGCATCGACCCCCAATCGCCCATTCATCGCCGATAGCGGCCCGATAGCCCCAACCTGCTCAGGAACGTGCGGATGCAATGTTGGGGGCCTATCGCCGATTCATCGGCGATGTATCGCCGATTCCGGGTTGATGTTCCCCCCCTTATGACTATCTTCCCCCCTTGTCTTTGCCTCTCAGCTTGGCTCTGCTTCGCTTGCACCCATTCCCCCCGCCGCTGCGTTGTCGGGCCGCAGGGGCGCAGGGAAGGAGAGGGAACAAGTAATCACTAACGATCCCCTCGCTATATGTTCCATCCCGGTCATTTCCATCAAAATGAGGATTGGCAGGGCCTGCGGAGTGAGACCCCTCCGCGGCAATACTGTGAATCAAAAAGGGCGCCCGCCGCCTCCCTCCGCCCTTTCGGAGGGCTGGCTGGCTTGCGCACAGAACGCATATTTACGCACCGCTACACGGACAGTATAGCCACGGCGGGAAAAAACATCATATCTTTACTTGAACCAGATCTTCACAAACACGCTGAACAATAACAGCATTAACCGACGAAACGGATGAGTAATTTGCCTGAGTCCACAATGGATCAGCAAAGAGATTGGTTATCCGCCGAAAGTGTCGCCACGAACTCAGGGAACTGCGTTTCCCGGCTCGAAGATGGATGTATTCAATTTTGAAGAGTAATACCACGTCTCAATTTCAATCCAAAAGTTCGTCGTCGAGCCCCCTGAGTGCGCCAGGGGCTCGGATTCACGTTTTCCGCAGAAGCTCAGCATGAATTTGTCGCTCTCGGCAGGAGACCGGCGGAGGATGGGTCCAGCCGCCGCGACACGCCGCGAGCGGACGCGGACAAGGCCGACGCCGATGCTGACTGGTACGGCTCAAGCATCAGATGCGGATCATAATTGCCGCCTGGCGCCCACCAGTCCTACGCGATCTCTTCAGTTTTTGAAGACGGCATGGAGGGCCCCGACCACGTACAGAGTGCTCATTTCTAATTCGTGTGCTGCACGTGGCCTCCGCCGCCCCTTCGGCGCGCTTCATTTCTAATTCGTGGCCGGAATTGCAAATGACCGGAATTAGAAATGAACGCGCTTGTTAGGCCCCGGAGGCCCCAGGGCAAATGCATTCGAGCGCGCGCCCGAGTCTGGATCTAGGGCGCGCCATCCTCGATCGGGCACGCGTAGACGTGACGCGCAAATCCTGCGTGTCGCGCACACGTGACACGCAAAATCTGCGTGTCACACGGAGCGCGCCTGGGGCGGGACACGGCCGGAATTACAAATGAGTGCTTTGTATTCATCTCGTCTTACAAAGAGGGATCTGTTAAGTCGACATTTCGCCAAGATGGCGAGATGACCGATGACTCTCGTCCTGGGGGTGGCCCCGAGGTCAGTGGCCTCGGGTGATCGCCCATGTCGGCTCGGGAGTTGTCTGCGGCGTCGGCGCCCGTCGACGGCGGGCTTGCCCCGTCGCGGGGCGCCCTGTGCGGGGGGGCGCTTGGGAGCGGGGGCCGGCGAGTTCCCTTTTTCTACGTGGAACTCGCCGGCTGGTTTGTGGTTTGTCTTTGTCAGGGGCACCCCACCCCTTCCCTTGGCGCTGTAAAAGTTTGTGCGGTTAGCGCCAGGGGGGGCCGAAGTGCCTTTGGGAGGGGGTGAAATCCGACTCAGGCTCTCGGGACGTGCCACAGACCAGGTGGTGCGCCCCGCCACAACTCGAGGCGTTATAGCGAGTGCTGGCGCCAACCCTCGCGCGGCAATGCCGCGCGGGGAGGCTTCGGGGGGTGTAATTACTCACGCCCCCCTCGCTATCTTTTCCATCGCTGTCACTCCCTTCCATATGAGGGTTGGCAGGGCCTGCGGGGTGAGACCCCTCCGAGGCAGCACCGTGGATCAGAACGGCCCGCGCGCCGTCCCCGCCCGCTTTTTCGGCCGGCCCCGGCCGGCTTCCGCACGCAACGCAGATTCACGCCCCGCTTAACGGGCAGCATTTATAGCCATGGCGGGGGGCGCATCCTCTCCGAGGCGTAATCTGAGATCCCTACTCCAGCAAGATCCTCACGAACGCGCCGAACAAAAACAGCAACAACCAGTTCACCGGATGAAGAACTTGCCCGGATCCAAAATGAAGAGGTTCGAGTTGGAAAAGCAGAGCACGTGCCCGTAGGCCCGTCGGCTCGAGCCCAGCAAGAGCCGAACCAGCAGGGTTTTATATACGCATATAGTCGAACCGAGGTATAAGACCGACGTCACTTCGGAAATAATGCCCTAGTGATATTCGTGTATGCAGGATGTTGTTGTGCGTCCTGGGGAGGGCGCCCTTGGATGTTACGTGTATGTTTTGGCCGGCGGAGGGTCACATATTATTGGAGGGGGTTCTTCTGTTTCAGGTCGGACTGCACGCGGATTGTACGTGCTCGCGCGCTATGTGTTGTCCAGCGGGCCTTCCCCACCGTGTGCCGTACCAGGATACGGCTGAACAGAACTCTCTACAGCCCCTCTTTGCTCAAGTTTTCTTGGGCACCAGTCTCGCCGCTTCGTGCATGCAGGCGGCGGCTGGCTGGGTTCTTGGGATCCTCGCGTCCCGCTGGTCCGCGCCGGCTCCGCCCGCGGACCCGTCCTGCACCTGCATCTTCAGCGGGCACGAGCCGGGCTCGGGCGTGCTGGACATCCTCCGGGAGCAGCTCTCGCGCTGCGGCCCGGAGCACCTCGGGGCGGCCTGCCCCGCGTGCCCGGCCTGCGTGTGCCCGCAGTGCCCGGCCCCAGCGGCTCCGTCCGGGGCCTGTGTGCTCGTGGTCCTCGTCGGGCTCGCGAGCTTCGCCGCCGGGGCGGCCGCCGCGGCTGCCTGGCTGCTTCGGGCGGGGCCGCCTCGCGCGGTCCTGCCGCCGCTGGCCCTCGCGGAGGGTCCTGCTGGGGAGCTCGTGGGTGCTGCGACGCCGGCGACCCTCCAGCGAGTGCGGAGGCGGGCTGGCGCCGTGAATGCCGAGGGCGCTTGACGTTCCCTACGCCCAGTGCCTCGTGCGGTACGACGACGACGAGAACTTCCAATGGCACCACAGGGTCCTCCTCGTCAAGGGGCCGGACCAATGGTGGGTGTGGGTGACTCCCGACGGCGAGATCGCGGCAGCCAACCTGGGGGGCTTCCGAGTGGTCGCCCTCCAGCGTGGGGGAGCCTTCCCCGACCGCTACCGTGGCAACATCTACGTGTTCGACGATGCCGATGTGGACGCCGAGGAGATGCACCAGTACTACCGCGAGGCGCGGGCGCTGGGGGACATCCTCGGGTACCCCGCCTCGGCGGCCCCCCTCGCGCGGGACGAGCGGTGGTTCGTCTCGGACCCGACCTCGCCCCAGTATGGCGAAGAGGTGCCCGCGGCCTCCGTGGGCAACGACGAGGTGCTCATCCGCCGGGGCGAGGTGGGCCTCGTGCTGATCGACGACGTCTGGCAGACGGCGGTGCGTGTCGAGGCCGGCGGCTCCTTCGAGGAGTGGCAGGCTCGGGCGCGCGGAGGTCCTGGTCGGGACCCGCGCATCGCTGGCGACGAGCGGGACGAGGAGAAGGATCGCTTCATGAGCTTCCGCACCTCCGTCTCGAAGATGCGAGAGCAGGCCATCCCTGGATGGCCCCTCAAAGGGAAGCGGGCTACGCGCGAGGCTTGCCTCGCTCTTCGGGATGCCGGACAGGAGGGTTGGGACGAACACCACACGACGTGGGTCAGGAGGTCCGGCATCCCGGAGAAGAGCAACACCGCCCGCGAGCACCGGATGCTCTGCTCCGTGCTCCGCATCATGCAGCAGTTCGACCAGCTGGACCTCTACAACGTGGCGGGGGTGGAGTACATGGTGCGCCGCTTGAAGCAGCTCGAGGCTGCCACCAGGCGCAACCCGAGGCAGCCCGACTTCGACGGGCTCGACGTGGTGCTGGACGCCGCCATCGACGAGTCCGGCGGGTTCGTGCTCCCGGCCTTCGACGCCTGGGTCGGCGAGCAGCAGCGGTCCGAGGCGGCCATCATGAAGGCGGGGAGGCAGTGGCGGGAGGAGACTTCGGCGAGCGGCTCGAAGGACAAGCCGCCGAAGCACCCCAAGAAGGAGGGCAGCGGGTAGGCGGGCGTGGGGCCCCCTGCCCTGCCGTCCCAGCCCGCGGGCTCACCGCCCCGCGCCGCTGGGCCGGCCTTCTCGGCGTGGGCTCCTCCACGTCCGCAGTTTTGTCTTCTTGGGCATGGCTCGTCGCGATCATCGTCGTCACGGTGAGCCTCTGCCACTTCCGGTCCCGCAGCCCTCTGGGTTCGTGGACCTGGCCGACGCGCCGAGGTATCTGGCCCTCCGTGCCGTACGTCGACGCTGTCGCGAACACCGACTTCGGGAGGCCGTTCGCTCGATCAACGACCTCTCCCGTGCCTCGGTCCACGGGTTCGGCAGCGTGCCAGCCCGTGGCTCCACCACGCCCGGCGCGCCCTCCGCCACGCAGGCCAGCTGCCTCGCTCACCTGCGTCGCAACATCGGCCGGCACGGCCCACGGCCGCCTGGGCTCACCCCTCGCGGAGCCCTTCAGGAGCTCCTCAAGTCCGACTCGCTGTGCGCCGGGGCGCCCTCCAAGGTCGCACCCTACAGTGAGGACAAGCTCAAGTTCTGGAAGTCGAAGATCGTCCCGAAGCGCGTCGAGGACATCTGCCCCGACTTCGTCGTCCGCGCCTTCGCCGACCCCGATCGGTACGTGCGGAAGCCGGACAGGGTCTTCTTGGCTGATGCGGAGGGGCTCGACCCCATCGTGCCCTACTGGGACCCTCACCTCGCTGGCTCGCCCGACGCGCGGGTCAGGTTTGTCCGCCGCCTGGCGGAACGAGGCCTTGTCGGCTACCGTCGGCGCATTCGTGCTCGCGTGGGCTGCTTCTTCGTCGAGAAGAAGGGGGGGTTCATCAGGCTCGTGGTCGACGCCCGCGAGACGAACCGGACCCACTGGAGCCCACCGCACGCTGCCCTCGGGACCCCGGCCGCGCTGGCGGAGCAGGACTGGTCGGACGCGGCCCTGGGAGCCTCCGACGCGACCTCGGCGCCCGCCATCTACGGTGCCTCGCTCGACCTGGCCGACAGCTTCTACCAGTTCTGCTCGGACGCCCTCGCCGAGGACTTCGGCATGGACTACCCCGAGCCCGCGTCGGTGTACGGGGCGACGCACGTCTGGGAGGACGGCCGCCTCATCCCCGTCGGCGCCGACGACGTGGTGTTCCCCGCCTTCCGTGGCGTCGCCATGGGCTGGAGCTGGGCCCTTTGGGTCGTTCACTCCTCGGTCACTTCGTGGGTGGGTCACGCGCTCACGGGCGGGCCTGCGAGCCTCGTCTTGGACCGTCAGCCGCCGCGCCCGGCGGCCCCTGGCAGGCCCGCCGGCTCCGTCTACGTCGACAACGTGGGGATCCTGGGTCTCTCCGCCGCCGATGCCGCGGCGGGCCTGGCCAGCGTCATGGAGGAGCTCGACCGCCGGGGCATCGTGTACCACGAGGTCTGCGAGCCGTCCCTCGAGTTCGGTATGGTGGGCGTGGTGTATGATGGCGTCCGTCGGACTCTGCGTCATTCCGACGAGCGGGCCTGGCGGCTCTACTTCGCCTGCCTGGAGCTGGAGCGCCCGGGCGTGCCCCGTGCCGCGTGGCAGGTGCGGGTCGTCCTCGGACACTTCATCCAGCACTGCCTCCTCCTGCGGCCGGCCATGTCCATCTTCCGCCACCTCTACAGGTACGTGGACGAGTGCCGGCTCGGGCCGCCTTCCCCTCTACCGAGTCCCGCTCGGCAGGAGGTCCGCGTCTTCCGAGGGCTCATCTTCCAGGCGGTCGTCGACCTCGCCGCGCCCGTGTCGGACATCGTGCTCTGCTCCGACTCCTCCGAGGCGGGCTACGCCCTACACCGCCGGCGCTGCGACCCCGAGGCGGTGCGCCGACTCGCGCGCCTTCGGGAGCGCTGGCGCTTCACGCCCGACGAGAAGCGGCCCGAGGCCCTGGAGGACGACACCTACACGCCCGGCTGGCTTCCTGGCGCTGGAGGGGTGCTCGGTGAGGGGGACCCCAGCTGCGGCATCGCGACCTGGGCCCCGCCGCCGAGGAGGGCCGACGAGCGCCCCCACGGCACCGTCCGGGCTCGGGTTGCACAGGCACCGCGGCGCGCGGCCTTCGAGGACATCCCCGACGAGCTCGTCGCCCCAGAAGCCTGGTCGCTGGTCGTGGAGGGTGCATGGAGGACGCGGGCGCCCATCCATATCCTGGAGGCCCGGATCGCCCTCGCGGGGCTTCGGCACGCCTCCAGGAGCCTCGAGTGCCACGGGCGCCGCGTCCTCAGCCTCGGGGACAACATGGCCGAGGTGCTCTCGACCGAGAAGGGCCGCGCCGTCGACGTCGGCCTCGGCTCCGTGTGCAGGCGCAGTGCCGCCATCCAGGTGGCCACCGGCATCCGCTGGCGGCGCCGATACCTCGACACAGGGAGGAACGTCAGCGATGGTGGTTCGCGCAAGGCCCTGCAGGGGTTGTACCGCCCTGGGCAGCGTCGCGTGGGACCTGGCGCCGGCGCCGCTGGGGTTGCGGGACGGCCTGGTGCGGCCCCGCCCCCGCCGCCGCCCCTGGGACAGACTGCTGGCGCTGCGGGCCCCGCTCGGGCTGCCGGCGCCTTGGCGCCGCCCGCCGTCGCGGGGGACCCAGCGTGCCGACGAGGGGGGGAGGATTCAGACCTCTGCCGTCGCACCCCTCGGCCGCTCCCCCGCGACGGCCCGCCGAGGCACCCCAGGCGCGTGCCGGCCCCCCCGCGTGACGTGCTCCTTCGGCGAGGCCGGCAGGGGCCGCGCAAGCCCGCCTGGCTCGCGCCCCCGCCGGGCCTCTCGGCGCCCTCGGTGGTTTGGCCGAGGCGGCCGCGTGGCGGCCACGCTTTCGCAGGCGCGGGCTCCGCCCGCCGCCGGCCGCCGCCCTGTCGTGGCTCGGCCGGCCGCTGGGGCCGGTGTGGGCCCAGGATGCAGCCAATTCGAGTGGATGAAACGTCAGATCACGGTCTGTCTCCTCGGCCTCCTGCTACGTCTGCGTTCTCTACGCCGACCGCTGCGCGGGCTCCGCGACCCCGGGCTGCCTTGGAGGTCTTCTCGGGCTGCGGGCGCTGGACCGGTGCCCTGGCCCAGGCGGGCCTCGTCGTCGCGGCCCCCATGGACATCAAGCACGGGCCCTGGTGCGACCTCCTCAACCCGAAGGTCGAGTCTCAGGTGCGTTCCTGGATCACCTCCCGGGCCGTCTGGTTCGTCCACTTCGGCACCCCGTGCACCCCGTGGTCCATCTCTCGGCGAGGGGCTCGCGAGGTCTCCGCCATCAGGGCGGCCCGACGGTGTGCTCACGTCACGGTGCGTCTCTTGGAGGTCTGCAGCCGCTACGGGATCCACTGGTCTCTTGAGAACCCTCAGTCCTCGGGCCTCTTCCGATGGGCCCCACTCCGGAAGTTCTTGGACCAGCACTCGCGCTCCTGGGCTACCTACCACTGCTGCCGGTTCGGCGCGCCTTACAAGAAGCCCACCACTATCGTCTCAAGTCTGGGGGCCCTGCACGACATCGGCCTGCTCTGCGAAGGGGGCCACAGGCACGAGCACTTGTCTGGGAAGGTACGTGTCCGTGCGCCCACGGGAGGGCTCAAGCTTCAGTGGAAGACCACGTTGGCCGGCGCGTACCCCCCGGGCGCCTGCCATCTCGCTGCCAGCATCCTGGCAGCGGCGGCGCCGCGCGGCGCCAGGAGGCCAGATGGTGCTCCACTACTCGAGGAACGATGGCAGGCTGGTCTCTGCCGGGCGGCGGGCTGCGACTTCGGTCCTCGGGCGCTCCCGTGCCCGACCTGTCCCTCGCGCTGGGCCCCGCTCTGGAGGTCGGACGCCGAGCAGTGGGGCGGCGTCTGGGGGCCCCCGAGGCCCGCCGCTGGAGGAGGCTCCGTCCGAGGGCCGCGGGCCGGTGCGCCGACGCCCCGCCGCTGCCGTTGCCGCGCGGCGGCCTCGCGTCCGGCGAGAGCCCGCTGACTACAACCCTGGCTTCCTCCGGCGCTCGAGGGTGACCGCCACGACCGCCGAGCGGTACCACGCCAGCCTGCACGAGTTCGCCGCGCAGATGGGCCTGGACCCGGCGCGCTGGACCGCCCGCGACCTCCCTGCCGTCGACGCCGCCCTCGACCGCTTCCTCGAGGAGCTCTTCGTAGCCGAGCGGTCGCGGGGCGATGCTCGGTATGTGCTGGCGGCTGTCGCCGACCATTTCAACGTCAGCCTCCGCCAGCCTGGGGTCCTCCCGCTCGCTCGCGCTGCCATGGCTGGCTGGGGCAAGCTGGAGCCTGACTCGACTTCGGATCCCCTCCCGTGGTCGGCCGCTGTGCTGATGGCGTACCACCTGTCGCGGACCGGCGTCGAGTCCGACCTCGAGGCCGCCCGCGGCCTCGTTGTGCAGTTCGACACCTACCTGCGGCCCTCGGAGCTGGTGCTCATGCCTCTGGTCGCGTGCTTCACGCCGGGCATGCACGCTGGGGTTCACTACAACAAGTACGGGATGGTTGTCGCGCCGTCCAGCCAGGTGGCCGGCCAGCTCATCGGCATCCGTACCAGCAAGACCGGCGTGCAGGATGACACCGTCCTCCTTGATGAGGCCAGTCGACCTGGCGTAGTCGGTGCCTTCGCTGCCCTCATCCGCCAAGCCCGCCGTGCCCGCTCGCAGACGCTGCTCCCTAGCCACACGTATGCCTCGTACAATAAAGTGCTGCAGCGGGCCGCCCGGGCCGTTGGCATCCCTTTCAAAGTCACGCCTCACCTCGCCAGGCACGGGGGGCCCAGTGAGGACTTCCTCCGCCGTGCCAGGACGCTGCCCGAGATCCAGGCGCGCGGGCGCTGGGCCTCGTTTCGCAGCGTGCAGAGGTATGAGAAGGCTGGCCGCCTCCTCGCGGCCATCCGCAAGCTTCCGCCTGCTGTCCGATCCGCTGCCTGCCAGGCCGAGGCTCGCGGTCTCTCTTTTCTAGCGTGAGTAGTTTCTTTGCGGCCGTGGGCCAGTGGAGTGTTATGGGAATTTCTCCCCAGCTGCTCTCCAGTCTGTGATATGGGACTTGGTTGGCCGACGCCTTTTCGGCCCCGGCGTTCCTGGACCTCAGACGCCGGCGGCCCCTCGGAGTGGCTAGCCTCTCTCTCACACAAGTCGCCAGCGACGTGGTCGCCTGGAGAGTGGAAAATACATCGTCCAGGTGCGACGGGCCGTGGCCCGACCGTTCCCCTCTCGCCCTGTCGATCTCTCCGTGGCGGCCTCCCTGGTGGGGGCATTATACTAGTCAACATTGTACGTGCTCGCGCGCTATGTGTTGTCCAGCGGGCCTTCCCCACCGTGTGCCGTACCAGGATACGGCTGAACAGAACTCTCTACAGCCCCTCTTTGCTCCCCGCCCGCGTGCCACCCTTTGCATATAGGTACTGTTAATGTTCTGTTAATGAGCTGCTGGACTTGGTTGGCCGACGCCTTTTCGGCCCCGGCGTTCCTGGACCTCAGACGCCGGCGGCCCCTCGGAGTGGCTAGCCTCTCTCTCACACAAGTCGCCAGCGACGTGGTCGCCTGGAGAGTGGAAAATACATCGTCCAGGTGCGACGGGCCGTGGCCCGACCGTTCCCCTCTCGCCCTGTCGATCTCTCCGTGGCGGCCTCCCTGGTGGGGGCATTATACTAGTCAACATGTGTGTATATGATGAGTACTTGCCACGCGCATACAGAGCCGCACGTTCTTTTTTTGTTTTTGTTTCTCTCTCTCTTTTTCTCCTTCTCTCTTTCCTTCCTTTTTCCCTCCCCCAACACACGCAGTCGATGTTTCATTCTCTCGCACTCTATTCATCCTTCTTGTCGCTCCTGCTGTCCCTCCCCCAACCACCCTGACCTCATCCTGTGGTTCTCCCCCTCTCCCATCCGTCGTTGTCGTCGCCCTCGCCGTCCTTGTCTTCGTTCTTTCCCTCCCCCCCGATTCGATGCTGCCTGGTCCTGCCCTTCGCTGGCTTCCACCTCGACCACCCTGGCCCTCCCCGCGTCGACTTCTCGCGGGGGAGGACGTTATGGGCTGGGGGAAGTCTCGAACACCGCCTGCAATCCGATCCGATGCGATTTCGCAGGCTTGGGCCTCGATCCGATTCCGCGGCGAGCCAGGGGGGGAAGTGAAAAGGAACAGTTGTTTTTCTCAGGAGGCGGCGGAACTTCTCAAAAGCCCTCCGGCCTTCTGAGAAGTTGTCTGTGTCTTCGGGGAAGGCTTAGTCAACTGCTCAGAAGGCCGGGGGATTTCCGAGCCTTCGGAGAAAGCCCGCCCCCTTTTCTTTCTCCCCACGGCGCCCCGCCGAAATTCGATTCGATGTCGCTAGCGATCCGACCCGTTTCTGATCCGATCCGATTTCGCGGTTCGATACAGCTCAGGACTGCCGGGCCCAGCCTTCCCTTCGAACGGGGCCAGACATGCACACAGTCGTCTTCGGCGTCGTAGTCCTCGTCGTCCTCCTCCGCGATTTTGTGCCAGCAGGGCCGCACGCAGTTGCACGCCGGGCTGCTGCTGGCGCCGGAGTTCGACCAGGCCGCTGGTGGGGGGCGGGGAGCAGGGCGATGCCAGGACAGAAACCACGAGGAGGAGTTGGAGGCCAGGATGAGGGCACGGAGGAGGGCAAATAAGGGGAGGAAAATAAGGGGCGCCAGGAGGAGGCGATGAAGCAAGGAGGAGGAGGAGGAGGAGGAGGAGGAGGAGGAGGCGGCTAGGAAGAGGAGGAGGAGGCTACGAGGAGGAGGTCTGGGAGTGGCTGGGCAGAGGCCATGTTTTTGTTGCTGGATTGTGGCATGAGCGGGCCAGAGGCAAAAGGCAGCAGCAGCTCGGGGCGAGCTCGCCCACGCGCAGCTCCGAGGAGGCCGCGTGCAGGCGCTTGTTGGTCGGCCGTCGGCCCTGTCATCACTTGGCATCGCTCGGACGTGTGCATCTTTCCTCGGCGGGGACTACCGAGGAGCATCTTGGATCATCTTGCGAATCACATAAACGAACGAAGCCGACAATGCGCCGGGAATGGAATTCCAAGCGATGGCAAGATCAGGGGCAACGTTATGGGGGGGGTAGGCTGAGGGAGGAATGCATCGACCCCCACTCGCCGATTCTTCGCCGATGGGGGCCCTATGTTCTGGCCCGCCTGGGAGCGTGAAGATTCGCTATCGGGGGGCTGATGCCGATCTATTGGCGATGTACCGCCGATTGCAGCTCCCCCACTGAGCTGGTCCCCCCGAAGATTGCCCCTCATGCCAGCGGCGGAGGCCAGGAGGGTAGGATGAGGAGGGCGGCGACGAGGTTTGTCTGACCACGGCGGCCCCGCTTCTGGCAAGCTGCGCGGTCACACCCGAAGAGAGGGCGACGACGACGAGGATGAGGAGGAGGAGGAGGGGGAGGAGAGGGACGAGGAGAGGAGGAGGAGGAGGAGGAGGAGGAGGAGGAAGAGAGGGACGAGGAGGAAGAGGAGGGAGACACTGCACTCCATCCTCCGAGCTGTGCAGTGGAAACCCATGCCAAGAAACACCATGCTTGCCTCCAGGGTGCCCTGGGTTTCTTGGGTTTCGATGGTTTTGCCATGGAGAGCGTGACGCTCCCACACCAAAAATCAATGGACGTCCTGGGGTTCTAGGGTTGGGAGTTTTGTGGACGGTTTCTTGTGGTCGAGCTCCTACTGTAAAGAATGCGGCAAGGTGGGTCGACAAGGTCAGGCTCCTGGTCATAAGCTGCAGCGAACTATCGAGCGAGAGCCTGACTTTGAGAAGGGACCGCCATCCTCTGGATTACCCCTCCTTGCTCCTCCATCGTCCTACCTCCTAGACCTTCCGCCTCCTTACTGTTATGATTTATCGTAACGCTTCGCGTATCCTACCAGGCCTTCGTCATCGACACGCTCTTCTGGCGGCAGCTTTGCGGGCCGAGCGGTACTTCTGTAATATTCCTTCTTCCCGCCGGATGCCGCCCGCCTCATTGTTTTTCTCTTAGCTTCGGAGCGCGGCCCGCCCTAGCTTGCTCGGCGTTCGACCTGCCTTCGTGCGCCCGCGGACCAAAAGTATCCCACCAGGCCATCCAGACACGATGCCCAGCGGAGCTGCCCCGAACGGGGGAGCGTGGCATCGTTTGGATATGTCGGAGGCCTGAGTGGGCCGGGGGCCCCTTGGATGCCTCAGTAAGTCTCCTGGGATGTATTTAGGGGGCCTCTTTGAGTCCTATTGGGCCGCCTTTGGGGGGCGGCTGTAGGGGCGCCTCTAGGGCCTCGTGCGGCCTGTTCGGGGTCTCTTGGGTGCTCCGCGTGCGCTAACTGGACAATTTGAAGTTTTCGAGGGTCCTCTTGAAGCTCCCTGGGGGGCTCGTCTGGCAGTCCCGGGGCCATATTGTAGACCAGCGAGTGAAAAGGACGGTATCCAAGTAGTTTTCCCTCTCCAGACAGCCAACCTTTGCCAAATCATACATACAGTATTGTTGTGTTCTGGCTGACGCTATCGTGGACATCCAACTGCCAGCCGCTCCCCTCTCCCAGGCCCAGAGGGAGGGGGGAGGGGGACGGGAGTCAAATTACCCCCCGCAGGACGGCCGCGCCGTTCACTCCAGTTCACCCTTCCACCACAGAAGTAGCACACGAGTCTCAGCAGTGGCAGGGGCCTCCATCGACAGTCATCGGGAACCAAGGCAAGCGCCAGCCAGGTGCGCGACGCTCGCCAGGCGCTCCGCGCAAGCCAGGGTGCCCCCCATTATCCCTGTCACGTAACAGTGCAAAGTGTTCGCGGGGCGCCCGCGCATGATCAAGATGTTACCGCAAAGTGTATGCTGCATGCCGTTCGACAGCGATGGTGGGCCGCCGCGTAGCAGTCAGTATGCCGACGCGCCCCATCATTTTTGCAACATGACCATGTCAAGAAATCGCGGCGCGCCCACGCATGCCTACACCTTTGCCACATTTTGCGCTCTCTATTGCTGGGATGGTGAGCCTGCGCGCAGCAGGCAATCTGCCAGCACCCTCCACGTCCCTGTCAGGAGAAATGCAGAGTGATCGTTTGGTGACTGCGCATGATTCGGATTGTTCGCAACAGTGTGCATTTCGTCTTGTTATTTGGACAGGGATGGCGGGGAGAGTCATAGCTCTGGGCGTGCTTCCAATCAGGTGAGGACGGGGGTGTCGATTACTGAGTAAGGATCAGCCACAAACCCTTCCCGAAGGGGAAGAAGAGGATATATGGAAAAGGAGACGATCTAAACCACCTCAGCCCGGACGGCTGGTGGAATTAGTACAACTTTTGGTTGTGCCAACAAGCCGATAAGGATCATACTCAGGACGTCCCACTCCACTGGCCAAAAAACATCGGATGCCTACGCTTCGTGTTCTCAACATGGAAGGTTGGGCGTCGGCGTTGCGAATTGCGTGGTTGCATTGGGACGCGGCGAATACGTGCGCGCCAGGGCGGAACGTCGTTGTCTTTTGCACGACGCGCTGAGTATTGAATTCTTGCATGGGTGCGGCGCAAATTTTTCGCACGCCGACTTGCTGACGCGCAAACGGACGAAAATGTTGCTCTCGGTTCCGCGCCACGCAGATTTCGCCTGCAAGTGGCGTTCCCGCCCCAGCGCGGCGCAGATGTCTCGCTCGCCAAGTGCGCACGTCCCGCGCGAGCGGGCGACTCCCGAGCTCTGTGCAAGGTTCGCTTTGGAATCGGCGTTCCCGCGCGTGCGCGACGCTTGTTTCGCCCGGCGAGCCACTTGAAAGCGGGAGCGGCAACGGGGCCGCGCGAGACCGGGCGGACTGTTGCAGGGGTCGATTTAATCGGCGTTTTGTGGCGATTTCGTGGGCCGTTATCGTTTCGATTTCGTTTTGCAGCAAAGACGGATTGAAGACAAAACGAGGGAAAACGAACACAACACGAAAACGAAAATCACGACTTAGGGCGATCCCTAGAATGCTGTCGCCGTCCTGGCGCAGCGGCGTGTTGCGCGCAAGTAACAGTGCCGGTTCGGCGTGGTGCTTGCTTCGCCTTTGCCGCGTTCGTCGGATTGTTTGTTGCCGCTCGCGCCCCTGCGCGGCCCCCGCGCAGTTTTCTTCGCCAAAGTCGTCGGAAGCGGGGCCGCGCGCGAGCGCCGTCCGATCGCAAGGTGGGAGCGCGTGCTAATCCTAACCAAGTTGTGCCACATGTTTCGTGACTATGCCAGGGCAGGACCCGCTGACGCGCTGGACATAGCTGAATTGACCCCGTCCCCTTACTCATGCATCCGCATCCCTTCTCCTTCCTCCCGCGTCGTTCCTCCTCCATCCTGTTCCTCATCTTTGCTCGTCCTCCTCCTCCTCCTCCACCATCGTTATCCCTCCTCCTCCTTTTTTGTTTCCTCCTCCTCCTCTTCCCGCCTGTTTGCCCTGCTCCGCCCCCCATCGGGGGGCCGTGGGGTCCACAGCGGCTGAAGCGGGGGGGCTGGGACTGTGAGCGCCCTCTCCGTCCAACCGCCTCTTGGCTTTGGCTCGCTCGTTCGCTCCTCCTCCTCCTCTTCCTCCTCCTCCTCCTCCTCCTCCTCCTCCTCCCCATCCTCCTCCTCCTCCTCCTCCTCCTCCGCCCTCTCGTCCTTTTCCTCCTCCTCCTCCTCCTCTTCCTCCTCCTCCTCTTCGTCCCCCCTCCGTAGCCGTTTTGGCTCAAGATGTTTGCACCTGAGGGCATCCGCGCCCTTTTGCCAGCACTGAAACTGCTAGTCCGCAGCAAGTTCCAGGTCATTTGCAGTGGCCACCGACCCCGTCGCTCACTGCGGCGGTCGCGCATTTTTTTGTGGGACCTGCGGAGGATGAGCCTACGATTTGAAGCTCGAGAAGTCGGGGGGGTAGTGCAACAAGTGCCAAACAGTATTCCCAGGCTGGCAGGCACGCGGCGGCACTCACAACGAAGTCAACGGGGGCAAGTGTTCTCCCTGGCACAAGCGAGACGAGACGTTGGCGAAGGTCGAGGCCCCGTCGGCCCACAATGCCGCGCAACTGGGCCAGGGGCCCCTCAAGGTGGTGCAGTCGCAGGCGCAGGCGGCAGCGGCGCAGGCCCCGAAGAAGGAACCCCCGAAGGAGTTGGAGGTCTGCTGGGCCATCAGCAAGCTCAACATGTGCCAACTGGAGGTGGACTACACGGCGAGCCAGCTGCAGGAGGTGGAGGATCGGATCAAGACCCTGCGCGCTAAGAACGAGAAGGCTATCTAGGATGCTGCGGATGCCACGCTGGAGCACAAGCGAGCGCTGGCGGCGTACCAGGCGGAGACGGCTTGCCAACCTCCGGTACAGCAAGCGGAGTGGTAGGCACCAGACGTCGGTGAATTGTTCGATGACGCCGGCGATTACGAGGAGGAGGACAAAACGAAACTCATGAAGTTCAAGCACGACATGGAGGCGCTGGCCAAACTGTTCCAGATGGCGGCGGACCAGTACCGGCAGTTTAACCAGTTCAAGCAGCAGGCCGACACTTTGCGCACGCAGGCCAAGAAGAAGCGCAACGCGGCGGAAGGGAACGCGGTGGGTCCTGTACCGCACGCGGACTCGGCAACGAGTGGCG